TTTAATAGTTTCACTTTTATAATAAACATAACGAATAATACCTTTTTCATTTGTTTCTTCTACTTTCTTAAAATCAGCTTTAAAATTATTTATCATTCATTCTTTTTTATCTTCATTATAATAATCATTGAAAATGAAATTATCACTAATATAACCAAAACTGTTAAAATCTTCAAATCGATTTTGTCTAGAATATGTTAATTTGTCAGTTCTTAAATATAATGGTGTACACGTCTGACAATTATCTTCATGAACTTTATTTTTAATAAAAACACTTGATAAAACTGTTTTATGAAGTGTTAATTTTACATATATATAAACAGATAATTTTACATTTTTTATATATGATTTTGATTCTAATATTTTATTTAAATCATTTAATATATTTATATCAGATAATTTTTCATTTTCATCTTTCTCTTCATTAACAAATTTAGTATATTGTGTAATACTATCTAATAATTAATTCTTCATATTAATACATTCTACCATATTTGTTATTTTCTTATATTGTAATAAATAATTAGTACCATCAATAATAGTTTTTTGTTCTAAAACTTTTAAATATGTCTGTGGTACAATATGTTTATTGGTATTTTTATTAACACCTTTCATTTTAAAAAATATTGGTTTATTAATACTTTCATTATTAAAAGTTGTATTTTTGAACCCAATGCAACAATATATTCACCCTGTTTTTCGATTGCAACTCCTAACAATTTCTTATCATGTTTAATAAACTCTTTTACAGTATTCAATTTTGGTTTATAATTATCATCAGAACAATAAAAATCATATGGAAGCCATGAAAAAAAACATGTTTATTGTAATAATCATGATCAATAATTATATGTTGAAAGGCTTGTTTAATATTATCTTCATTATTACCGGACACAGCAAAATACATACCATCTGATTCTTTTTCTACGAAATAAAATTTGCTTTAATCAAGACATTTATTCTTAAAATTGTTAATGAATTTGAATACCAATATTTCGCATTATCAAGTGTAAATAATGCACATTGTATTGGTGTACTTATTTTATAAGAACTGTTGTTTTCTGTTGTTGGATATCTTGATTTGGATATTTTCAAAGTATCAATATGATATGTAGATTTATTTGATTTAAAAGCATTTTTCTTATCTACTATCTTAGTTTTGTTATAATTATCAGTTCTCATTACATCTTGACCATACTAAGAATTAAGTTGAATTTAATAAAATAATTATCTAACTTTATCATTATATATAATTGTTTTCTGTCGAGTTTTCATCTTGTCAGTTACAAATTTGGAATAAGAATCATGTTTAGTAAATGTTACAAATGATTTTATATCTTCAATTTCAAAACCAAATTCATCAATAAGGAACCATAGATAATAAGAACTGAATATCATATATGGATCTTTATTATGTTCTTTATTGAATTTTGTATCATATGTTTGTGTAAGTTTTTTTTGAATATTTCATCAAATTCTTTTTCTGCATTTGTTTTATAATTATGTTTAGTCATATAATTTGACATTAGTTCTTCAATAATATGCGGTTGAAGATTTGCATCAATATTACGAATAATTGGTAAAAAGTGTATACATTTATTCATCTTTCCACTTGGAATTCTTCCTTTGACTTCAGCAATAAATAAATATTCTTTCTTGTTTATAATCACTTTAGCATATTTTTGTTGTTTACCAGTCAAATCAAACATAGACATCTTAACAGCACTAGGCATATACATTTTATGGTCTGTATATGGATTATTTTCATTTTCAACACTTGAGAAACACGATGGATAAAGAGAATTAAAATCAACACCAACAACGTGTGTAATAATATTTTTAGTATCATATATGTTTACTGCATTATTATTAATATCATAGTTCAATTTAGTAATTGTGTTTCACTTCTAATATTCTTTTTATGATGAACTGTGGATAAACCACCTGTAATTTTTTTCTAACAAGATTTACGACTCTAGTGTCTTTAATGTTATGAGTAAGATTATTGAATTGTGCATAATTATGTATTTGAATCATGAATTTAGAAACAGTTTAATTTTAATTTGAAACGTGTGTATTTCGATAATAACATGAAAGTTGTACATTATTAATAGTATTACCAAGTTTACAATCAATTCTGTATAAAGTAGGTTTATTAGTTTTGGTAAACTTACAATTACAATAAAAACATGTACCAATTTAATTAATTATGTTTTCAAATGTTAAAAATCATTGTTTGTAATATTGTTTGATACATCTCTACCAGTTAATTTCTCTTGTAATTGATATCTATATACCATATTTTTGAAATCATATTCAGATAATTTATAAAAATCTATCTTATCAGTAGTTTGTTTATATTCTTTAGTCTGATCAAAATCATCATAGCATTTAAGATATTTTGTTGATGATGCCAAACTCGCAAATGAAATTGAATGTAACATATCTTGATCATCTTTTTGGTATAATTCTATTAAATTATCGATGATAGGAAACATAATTACTCTATCTTGTATATTATACTATCTAATATACTCATAACAATTATTATAATTACTATAATCCTCTAATTATATTATTATCTTCTTCAGATAATTCAGTTTGTGTTAACAAATTGAAAAAATCCTCTCTTTTAAATGGTTTAGTTCTTAACAATTGTTGATTTATATATTCTGTTCTGAGTTGTTGATATGAAAAAACACCTTTTATTTTTATTTCATTGTTACCATATGATTTAGAAGCCTCATCTAAACTTATAGGAGAATTTACAAAAATATTTTGAATTAATATCACTATTTAGATTATCACCAACTGCTAAACTAAATTCACTTAACACCGAATTTATTATTTCAGATTGTTCTTTATTATGGTCTTGGTGAGATGTGTCGATACTTTGCTCAGTTGTTTCAAAATCATATGTCATATAATATTTCATCGGACTATAAATTAATTTATGAGCTCAACAAAAAGTATATAATTTATCTTTGAATATTCTTGGACAATAAGGTGTAGATTTATCAGTTTTCATTTTTGAATCAACACTTCCATTACATTTTGTTTTATGATTTTTCAATTTATATCTTCCTTCTGGAGTATTAAGAAATGATTTAACACAGCAAACTTTACAGAATAAATAATTAGTCAGTCTATCAATATCTTTTACAAACATCACCTGTTCGTTTCCATATTTGAAAATATGAGAAATAATGACGTGAATATCGTTATCTAAGCAACTTCACCAATTGTCACGTAGAACATTCAAACATTGCGCTTTACTTACTAACTCAAGTTTTCAGACGTATTCACATCGACAGGGAATATATTTTTAGCAAAAAATAAAACATGAATTAGCGACAATTTTTTAAAATAAAAAACTCCAAAAAACTTAAGAATGCTTTAAAATTAACAGTCAATATAGTAGATATTCCAGGGGGTTGTTTAACTTTTGAAGTTGTAATTACAATACAAAAAGATAAAATGGTTTGTGGCGAAAAAAATGACCCGTTTTTGTATAAAAATCCGTTTGAGTTCAACACAACACTCCAAAATGTCGTTTTGGAACAACATAAGCACATTGGTATAAATTTGTTTTTTGATATGTAGACTTGAAAGAAGTTGTATTGTCTGAGGTTGTTAAGTCGATTGCTAAAAATGCATTCAAAAAGTGTGAAAAAATGAATTAAATTATAATTCGGAGTGATCTAAAGTACTTTGAAATTACTGCCTTTTTTAGTTGCACATCACTTAATAAAATCACCTTTTGCAACTAAAATTTAAAAATAATCGACTTAATTTTCAGGCGTCACACTAAAAATGGCACTTAAGACTTAAGATAACGAAAAGTGAATTGGTTTAGTTGTATTTTGAACTTTGTGTTGGTTTAATTTTTTTGTATTTTAAATGAATATACTCAATTATATATTAAATACAAATTATTGAAAATAAATCCATTGTTTTGTGATGTTTTATTGAAACATCACCATAGTAAAAAACAAGAAAAAATTATAATCTATTTGGTTTTTATTTCATTTCGTTTTATTTTATTTATGTTATTATATCAAATATAGTTTATTTGTTATAAATTGTATCATTTTTTAAATACCCAACAAAAAACAACACCATAATATTACTGAAATTGTGCTTTGTCGAAATTATTCCAATATGAACCACTTCCATCTTGATAAATACATATGGAAATTGCATTGGAGAACTTTATTACTCAACTTATTGTTTTGAAATCATCTCTGTCAAACTCAACTTTTTTGATCACAAAGAATCGCCGATTGACAAACGAATTGAATCTTTAGAGACATTCATATCCCAATACCCTCAATCCCCCAATTGTAAATCTATTGTAAATGAAATCCTCTAAACTCTGAGTGAATTAGAACAATCACTTAACTCCATTCTTACGGAAAATAACATTGATTTAACAGAGACACTTATGTCTTTGTATGACGAATATTACAACAATATAATCGATGAACTGCAAAAGAAAATAATCACAAGAGAAATTACAGGGAAACAATTTGATGAAGAAATGAAGAAGCTTGAGACTGAAAAAACAAGTAAAATTAAAAAAATTAATTGAACAATCAGAAGTGCAGATATCAATTCCACAAATTCAAACAAAAGAAATTGAAACTTCCCAACAAAAGTCGTTTTTAGAAAACGTGCTAAACGCCGTCAAAACATCTGAATCAATTTCCATGGCTAACACACACTTTTTATCACTCGAGGAGCAAAGGGTGCTTGCACAATTTACAAATAAAGTGGTTGGTCCTGTAGTCTTCAATAGTGACACTGAGATGTGGGGACTTAACGACAGTATAATCTCTGATAAAATCTACCAAAACTCGAATTTGTGTTTTGTCATTGAAGACACTGCGAGCAACAAATTTGGTGGCGTTTTCTTTGATACAATCACTGATCGAAGTGGGTGGATTTCAAGTCCTTCTGCCTTCATATTTTCACTTGTCAAAGATGGGGTATCAAACTCCAAGAAATTCAGAGTCCGAGATAGTAAAGGTTTTATGTATGACGAATGGGAAAAACCAGAAGAAGCAGCATTCAAAATGTTTGAGCTTAATAACAAGTACTTATTCGCGTTTGGTGGAGGGTATGACATCGCTGTCGCCAAGAAAGGAGCTGCCCAAAGTTATTGCAAGTCTGCAACTTTTAATGCAGGAGATTGGGGTTTGACTTCTAAAAAGAACTTCGAAGTTAAAAGAGTGTTGGCACAGAGACATCAAACCAGACAACATTCTTGTGTTTTCACTTGATGTGAATGACAAAGTGAATGCGAAATTGACTGACTTTGGATCATCAAGAAATATCAATATGATGATGACCAACATGACTTTCACTAAAGGTATTGGAACACCAAAGTACACGGCGCCTGAAATATTGAAAAAAGAGAAATACAAGAAGAGTGCTGATATATTCTCACTTGGAGTGACCATGTTTGAGTGTTTTAGTTGGAAAGAAGCATATCCAAAAGAAGACTTCAAATACCCATGGAAAATAGCCGAGTTTGTGATGTCTGGAAAACGTCTTGAAAATAGTCATCACATTCCAAACAACGTTTTTGCTATAATCGCATCTTGTTGGTGTCTAAATTCAAATGAAAGAATTTCATCCGAAGAAGTTGTATTAAAATTAGAGAAAGTTGTATAAAACAAATATAATTAAATTCATTTTGTTACATTTCGTATTACTATTATAAGATAATGATAGAACATTAATTCTTTATAGGTAATATGGCGATGGAATATACTAATATATAAGAGTATATATTTTTGTTTATTAATTTGAAAATTAAAAATAACTGATAGTTGTTTAAAACAACAGAATGAGTGCAAGTGCAAACAACACCAATATCGCATAAGAACTAGACGCAGTGCAAATTTCACACTCGACATCAGTGCATGGTTTTTGATACTGAGATGGTTCTTTACACTTAGCACACTTTTCATCATATTCAAATGATCCTTCTGGACACTTCTCAACACATTTGTTTTCGTTCATAATCGCACCATCAACACATTTATCACAAATTTCAAAAACAGAACACTTCGCACATTTTTCAGAGCACTTGTCACAATTCGTTTCATTCTTTTTGAAGAATCCAGGTCCACATTTGTCGACACATTTCATGAGTCCTTCTTCAAGATATTTCCCAGATACACAAGCTGAGCAATCATCGGCTTTAGTACACGTTTTACAACCACTTGCACAGGCTTTGCATGTTCTTTCAACAGTAAAGTAATTGTCTGGGCATTTGTCTTTCACACATTTCTTTGTGTCTTCAACAAAGAAATATTTGTCTGCACAAGTCTTACATGTTTTATCATCTTCACACGTTTTACAGAAATTTATACATTTTATACATTTCTTGCCAGTTGTGTCTTTTGAATATCCATTTGGACATTCGGTACCACTCTGGCATTTTCCAGTGTCTAATAATAGAATATCATTATCAGGGCATTCAGTACACTTTCCTGCTTCAACACACCTTTTGCATGATTGTTCACACTCGGTACACACTTTGTTGGCTGAGTAGAATTTGTCTGGACAGGTGTCTACACATTTGGTTTTATCTTTGATCAAATTACCTTTGGAACATTCAATGCACTGGTTTTTTGAAGTACATTTTCCACAATTTGTGATTGATTCAGAACAAGCTTTGCATTCCTTTGTATCAATATAATAAGAATCTGTTGTACAAGAAGTACAAGCATCTTTAGAACACACTTTGCAATTGTTACCACACTTAACACACTTTTTGGTTGCTGCGTCTTTGTAATAGCCAGCTGGACATGTTGAATCTGTTGTGCATTTCTTTGTGTCTTCAATTAAAAAATGATTATCTTTGCATTCAGTGCATTCCAAATCAGCTCCACATGTTTTACATTTTTCATCTTTACATTTATTACACATAAATTCTGACGAATCTTTGTAATAACCATCAGAACAAGTTTGTTTGCAAGTATCATCTTCCAAATATTTATCTGTGACACATTTTTGGCATTTTCCTTTTGTGCAAATTCTACAATCGGTATGTGTTTTAATGCACTCGGTCATATCAATTTCACAGTAATAATTGTTACCATCAACACTCATTTTCTTTGAATCACAATCAACACATTTAAGAGCTTTTTCCATTTTAGCAGCTGGTTGAGGTGGGTTTTCATCTGGGTTATTTGTAGATATATCAACACATTGAAGTGTGGTGCAATTAGCTTTAAGTGTACTAAGACCCCCAAATGTTCCTGCTGTATATGAATCAGTCACAAAAACCTTCAATTTATTATTGATTGGAGTTGTAGAATCTGAAAGAGTAGTTGGTTGGACTGTTCCGTGAAAGAAAAGATTGTTTTGTGATGCAAGTGAATCGAGAAGTTTTGTTAGTGGTGCATAAAAATTGACTGACAGAAGTTTCACACATCCATTGAAAGCGTCTTTCTGGACAGTAGCGACGTTTTCTGTACCTGTCACATCGGCGAGTTTTGAACATCCTTTGAAAGCAGATTCTGGTATTTCTGCCAATCCAGTTAAGTCTATTTTGGTCAAAGCTACGTCTCCCTCAAAAGCACTTGTTCCCAACGACTGAATACCAGATTTAGCAGTGAATGAAACAAGCTTGGTTGCACCTTTGAAAGCATTTTTTCCAATAACTAGTTTATCGGTTCCTTCGAATACAAAACTTGTTATATCCGTGTTGCCTTGAAAAGCATCTTCGCAGAGTGCCATAGCATCTTCTTTCGTTATTTTTACGTCATCTTTGCATTTTGCTTCGCCGCTTCCATCTTTGATACATTTTTTAGCTTCATCTTTAACATAACATGAAGTCGTCGAAAGAACAGAGAGTACTAAAGAAAGAAAGATTATTGAATACATTTGAATGAATAAACAAAGTTGAGTGTGTTTAAAAGAGGTATAAATCGTTTCAAACATTTGTCGTTGAGTGCACCTTCGAATGTTTTTGAATGATGAATTGACTTCTCATCTCATATATTATTTAAAAATATAGTTTTTATTGTATGTTTCAAATATAAATATTATTTTTCTTGTAAAAAATTTTAGTTTTTATAAATATGAATAAAATTTTACATAAATATATTTATTTAAACAAAAATGATATTTTTAAATATCATTAAAAGTTACAATTACTCTTGGTTCGTAATTAAGTAAAAAAATATGTTTTTATCAAATTGTCAACTTTAGTAACAATAAAATATATTAGTTTTTGAAAGTTGATTGTTTGACACCAAAAATCTATATATAAAATATAGCAAATAAAAATATGTATCAAATAATTGTATAAATAAGAAGAATGATTTAAGAAATTAAAAGTTTTTTGTTAACAATTTTTTTTGCAAAACAATAAAAGACCATTTTCAGAAAGATTCATAGTGGTAATTATAGTTAATATAATAATAATCACAATAATTTTAAATTTACTTTTATTATAGATTTAAGATATTACAGAACTAATAAAAATTATTTCACAATATAATGATTTTTAATATAAAAATCATCGAATAATAGATTTATATAATATTCTGGTTGTTGTTTTGAATAATATATATTTAAAATAGTGTTTAAAAAATGTTATAAAGGAATTCAAAATGATAATTAACAACTTGAGAATAATAAATAATATGAAAACACCCAATTATTTTGATGTTCGTGAAACGAAACAATACATACTATTTGTTTTAATCATAATAATCCATTTTTATGTTATTCTAAGTACTTTGTAATTGTAAATGTTTTGATTATCATACATAAATTGTCACAGCAATAACAACAAAATAACAAAACCCATTTTTATTAATATTTATTCGTATTTATTTCTCTTTGAAACTGGTTGTTTCATATTCTTTTGTCCTTAAAAAATATATACAGTCATTATTCGATATAAGGGAATACCGGGTATCAATGTTATTCGATATAAGGGAAAAAATGAGGAATTATATTATTAACAAAAAATACCTCGGTTTGTTTTTTGTCACAAAAATATTTTTTTTGATTATTATTTTTTTTCTAACCAAAATAAACACTTTGCGTATATCTTGAAAACAATTGGCAATTATTTTTATCTTAAATAAATAATAAATTTTATAATAAATCAAAAAACAAAGACGAATATATTAACACAATTAACATAATAAATAAAACTTTTGTATCTAACTTTGTTTCGACTTAAAAACTTTAAATAAATCTGTTAAATCATTAAGTTTTAATGCAATCCAAATAAGTTAAAACAAGAACATCATTGATGTTACAAGACAAAATAAAAAATATTGAATTAATTGATCCTTATCAAAATTCACAAAAAGTAATCAAAGTTGTCGGACAACAACTGAAAATAGTAATTTCTCCAAAGCAAGTTTATCATTTGCGTTCAATTCCTATAGAAACATTGATAATTTTTTATCCTCGTATAAACAAATAAGTAAACCACAGAACCTGGAACTTGAGGAAGCAATGATCAATTGGTTTCATGAAGTTCGTAAAGCGGGAATACAAATTGATTATTATATGTTGTCAAGGAAAGTATACTTTTTGAAAGAATGCAAATACATTCATTGTATTATTTCAAAAAAAAATTTTCTTGTTTATCTATTTTTATTATTATTATAATATTTTGTTAATTTTGATTAAAAATGTTCTATTAAAAATATAATAAAACATAGTTTTTATATTATTTTAATTGATCTTTTAACTTAGTGACAAATTAATCCAATTATTACCATTTTTGGGTTTTTAAATTGAAATAACCAACAAAAAGCAAACACATAAATTTCTTTTTTTTTATTTTTTTTCTATTATTCGATATAAGGGCTTCCTCTTATTTTTCTCCCTTATATCGAATATTGACTGTATTTGTTATTAATTGAATATGAAAATATAACTAAATAGATATTTGTAAAAACACGACATAAACAACACAACATTGATGTATTATGATGTTTTTTGTTGTTTTTTTAGGCCAACAAAAAGCTTATGATAGAATACCTTTTGATGACGAACATGTTATTGAACCAGATGATTTGTTTGTGTTGAGTAATTGTTTTTGCCCGCCTTTGACTGTCATTTCAAAAGAAGAAAAATACAACAATTACACAAAACTAGAAAATTGTAATTTATTTTCAATTTCTGGTGAAACACTTGAAGATGAATGTGATAACATTCAAAATAAAGAAATAATGGACGAAATTGCAGAAAATGATGAAAGTTACTATTTTTATATTGGAATGAGTAAATGCGAATTTGAAAAGTATTACAAACTGATTACATCATCGCAAGTTACTTTTGTGGGTTCTCCAAATGTTAGAAAGTGTTGTTATTTTTCAGTGGAAAAATCTGCAATTTTAGGAAAAAGACATAAAAATGCGTCACTTTCATTCAAATCTTTGACATTTCTCGTTTTAGTTATACTGAGATTCGGATTAAACTATTTGTTGACTTTTGTGTTATTGCTTTTAGAAAGGTTTTGTCATTTTTCAAAACGAGGGGAAGTGTGTTTAGAAGAAATGAAAAGAATAGAAACAGAGGAAGAATATATTTTGAGAATGAAAAAGAATATGTCAAATTATGTATCTAAACAATACCACGACTTTAAAAATCACTTTGGTGAGACAATTTATGAAAAAATGGTAGTTAAATTGGGAAATAGTCCAAATGTGTTGATACCATTTGCACTTGGTAAAAAAGTTAAAGATTTGAAAATAATGCCAGAATTAATTAACAGTTACTGGGCAATCGATTCTAAAACAACAGCTTCAAATGGTATTTTAACAAAAAATGGAAAAGTGAGAGAAAAAATGTATTCCAAAAAAATAAATGGTTCGGGAATGAAAATTAAAATTAAAGTGAACGTACAAGGATTTGTTTTGGATTCAAATGTTTGTGAAGGTTCAATAAACGATTCAAAATTGCACAGTTGTAACAGATCAATGGTTAAACCCGGTGAGTTTATTTTGGGAGATTTGAGATATTTGAGAAAAGATGAAGATTATATGGATGTTCCAATTAAAAACGCAAAAAGTGAAATATGCGAAGAAAAACGTGATTTTTATCACAAGTTTAATAAAGTCCATTCCAAGTCAAGGAATGTCGTGGAACACGTTTTTGCGTCTTTGACAAATCAATTTCATATTTTTTAGATCAGTTTTTGGATTCAACAAAGAAGACTTTGGCTATCTTGTCAGAATTGCATTAACTTGTTATAATTTTTTATTGCCAAGAAAACCAGTTATTGATTTTTCTAAAACAATTCCATCTTTTGAACATAACGATGAAGAATTGTATGTATTTATTGAGAAAGAAATGGACAACCTGAATGAAATATCAAAGTATGAGACGATTGACAATGATTCAATTTTGCAAAATTTTATTAAAAAGTCAAAAAATAGTCAAATTGACAATTCTATTCCTGAATTTAAATTAAGTGAAATTGATAAATTTTCAAGTGAATTATTAAAAAGAAAAAGTTGAAAATTATTATTTTAATTTGTTCAGTGAAGAAAATATGCGACAAACGGTACAAAGAACGGATGAAAATTTGTTATTTTCAAAAGGGAATTTTCTTCACTTGAAACTTCTATTGAAGAAATACACCATTTAATCCGAAAAACATGTCAAACGAACAACAATAGTCATACGTCAGTAGAAAATGAAATATCAATAATAAATAATACACAATTATCAAGTTGTAAGTCTTTAATAGAGGAAACACAGAAAACCAACCAAATAATAGACTGCAATAATAATTTCAGTGATATTTCATTTGATTTGGATAAAAAAACGTTTTTATGTTATGAAACGGAAACAATTATAGAGACAGATCCAATTTATCGTGTTAAAAACGGAAAATTAAATGATGACGACATCTTGTGTCTATCATCTCAAATTTTGAATTATGTACACACTGATAATTCTATTGTAGCATCTACATTTTTCTTTGAAAGTGTTTTTAATACATTTGACAAAACAAATAATGATAATTCCTTAATAAACAGTCACAGAAACTTGGATTGTTATTTAAACCAAAAATACATATTTTTCCCTTTATTCTCCGGTCTACGTACAAATGGTCATTTGTCTCTGTTAATTTTACATAAACATGATGATGGATTTGAATCATTTATCGTGGATAGTCTTGGAATTGAAAAATACAATTTCAATACGCAAATTTATTATTTGGACAAAATAAAAACATTTTTTTCTTGTCTTACAAGATTTTCGATTGAAAAACACAAAATTGAAAATGTAATATTAATTACTGATGTTGTTAGCCAAGAGAATGGAACAGATTGTGGTCGATTTGTACTTTTTTATATTTATTCAATTTTAATTAATCAAAACGAAGAAATACCAAAAGTACTTGGTAAACTTACTTTCAGTCATTTTCAAAATTTTGTAGAGGATTATTTATCAAGTGGTTTAAATTTTGGTTATAAAGAACAATTTGTACCAAGTAAATAATTCAGTTATCATTGTGTTCGTTTTTTGAATATTTGCTATAAATTGATAATCAAAATGAAAATTGAAAAAGTCGAAAACACTGATTTAATAATAATGCATTTTTAAAATATAACAAATTTATAAATATTTTTGTAATTTATGCAATTATTCAAATTTATTATAAATCAAAGTTAATCATATTGTGTGTATTTTAATATGATTGTTTTATTTTGATATTAACTTGTGTTTTAAAAAAATTTACAGTTCTGAGGATGGCAATTATTTTCTGAGGATGACAGAAATAGAAAGTTTACACTTTTACATCTGTCTGAAATGTATATTGAGTAAGTTACTATTTTTAAATATGGGAACACGTCATTTCACTTCTTAGATGTTTAAGTCTGTGTTGACAATGTCTGTTTGTGACACGACTTACCATCCTCAGAGATATGTATAGCACTGCCACTATTGATTTAAAATTCTATAAATAAAATTATCAAAGAATTTTTATAAAGTGGGTTTTGTTAATTGATTATATCAAAAATCGTCAAAACACAACAAAAAAGCCAAATAATATATAAAATTGATTAATAAATTAAAGATACATTTATTGAAATTAATATTGTATTATATAAAAAAATAATATAAACATATATTTCTTGTGTGTATATGTTTTGAAATATAAATATAACCGTTTATAACAAAAACAATAATTTTACAAATTTGTTCATTTATCAATCGTTGTTTTATCGATCTTCAAAACCTCGCGTTTTGAATTTGCGATAATACATAAATTGTCATCGCATAGAGTATTAATTATCAGTACGTTATTTGCTATCAATTTTTATTGTTTGAAATTTCATGAATTGATTTATAATAAATTGTATTTTTTTTGTGAAAAAAAGATTAAAAATTGTTTGATTAATTTGTTTTGTGATTTTGATTAAAAAATTGACTTTTTCGATAAATTAAATTAATTTTTATTGTTTTCATATGAACCAAGGTTAGTCAAGTGGTAAATCAGAAAATAGAAATAGATTATTTTTTTGTAAAAATCAACTCCAAGAATCATCTTTCAAAAAATTCATTAATAGCATTTTTAAAGAAAATCACATGTTTCAAAATATACCTTTTTGATCTTAGGCAAAAAAATCCAAATTGAAAGAAATTATGTTTAAGATATTTACCATCCTCAGAAAAATTAACAATCCTCATGAATCCCTTAAATTTTCAACACAACAATATTTTTATATTTAATTTGTGATTTAAGAAATTATTTTAAATACTGTAACATTAAATGACCATTTTTATCTTTTGAGATATTTTAATTTCGTTATTGTAAATACAACAAACAATAATTAAACACGATTTTTAATATTATTGACGTGCATTCGATTCAAATTATTGTTAGTCTACATATTTGACATGTTAAAATGGTTAAATTGAATCATCTTATATGTTATATCATATTTGTTTTGTTAATTAATAAATTTAATAACCAATTATATAACACTTCATTGAAAATTATGTTTATGTTTTTTTTTGATGTACAAAAATTTTTTGGTTGTCAAAGAAAATAATGTTATTTATAACAAAAAACAGTATTTGTTCAAAAAAAGATTTCAATGTGTTAAGTAAGTTGGTATTTAAAATAAATAATAAATCTTAACTTATTTGATTAATAAATAAAAATCATGTATTATACTGTGTCAATAATATAAACAATTTAAATTATTAACAATCTAATGAGTTGTGTACTGGAAACGGACAATTTAGTCGACAAATACAGTTGATTAAATAATAGTCAGAGACCAAATAATTGTAAGAAGTAAAATAACTAGTATTAAAACCTTAATTTAGAACTATTTTAAAAAATAGAAATGGGTTTCTTTGGATTATTTGGTGTATTTTTTACTTTTTTTCATTGGTCATTTCCAATGTAATTAACGGGAAATACACCCTTCTTACAATTATTTGGTCTCTGATAATTATTTGGTCAACTGTAGTTGTTTTAATAAATTCAACAACAATTTAATATTGTTGTTGGGAATATTAAATTAAATAGGAAATTTAATGTAAACAATAATCAGCACCAAACTATTAATTATTTTAAACACATTAACAGCTTTAACAAAGCAATATTATATTTGTAATATAACGTAATATAACAGATGTTTGTATATCAAAGATTGCATTATGATTAATATTTAACTTACTAAATTAAAATCATACAAACCAGATTAAGTTTTATTTTAATTGTTGAAATTACACACCCAAATTTTTTCATACAAAGTTGTACTTTTTAACACTATTCTATTATGTGTTATGATGACAAGGAACAGTCAATTTTAATTTTGAAAATCATTTAAATTTTTGTGGGTTTTTTGTTTTATTTATAAAAATTGGATTATTATTATTTATTCCAAGGTGGAGATCCGGGTTCGAGTCCCGGCAAATGCATTTCAATTTTTTACATCATAACACCTTTAATTCATTTTCATTTCACTCTTAAAATCTCACTATAAATTATCAAGACATCAAAAGATTTGAACCTACGCCTCAAATGATAAATAAATTCGAGTTACACGTTTTGGACCACTTAACCAAGTTGTCTTCCTGTTTTTAGATTAAAAATAATTATATTTATTATAATATTATGTTAAATAAATATTATAATCTTATTTAATTTATAAAAAAAAATATTAAATAATATTGTATTTGGTAATTATATTCTGAATTATATAATGTTCGATGACTAGCCAACTTAAACTTTACAAAAATAAGAATATTTTTATTGTTGTTATATTAATAAATATTTTAATAAGAATTAGACAAACTGTGATTATATTAACAATATAATTATATCAGTATTATATTCCATTGATCAAATTGTAAAGGTTTTGCCGTGTTCGTGTTTTTATAAACACATATAGGTCTCAATATAAGAAAGGCCTGAATTATATATTCAACTTTTTAAAAACACGTGTTTTAAAATTTTATTTGTTGCCATATTTATTTTTTTAAATGGCTTTTGGAAATAAGACATTTTTAATGGTCGAAAAAGTACCAGAAAAAGTTTACAATTTGAAATATAACAAATATTATTATTTATATGTGAATAAATTAAAAGTTTTTTGAAAAAAAAAATAAATGTAACACTATTTAGTTGTTATTTTATTTTTAGAAGTGAATGAAACGAAATATTGTATTTTTTTATTTATTAAGCTAATAAATTAGTTGATATATTTACCATTGAAAGTTTTTTTGAATCTATATTCAAACCTGTAACAAATGAACCAGTTATAAATATAAAATTAAATAAAAATATTGAAAATGAATTTTTTTAACTTATTTTCAAACATTTGTACACCAATGAAATTCGTATTTTTTGTTGTATTTCTTTTAACAACAAATGGATATCATTGTGATTGTACACCAACTGGCATTAACGTTGACAACGAATTTATTCCTTCAAATTGTTCAGTAACAACAAATTCTGTTTGCTTTTCTTCGGATTTAGAATTCTCGTCTGTGTTGTTAAAAATTAATACAATTGTTGTTACTAACAACACAAAATTTTATTCTGATTTTGATAAAAACTGGCAGAACACTCAAACTCTTCAAATTGCAAAGGATATGAAATTGCTCTGTGTAATTAATTTAAAAATAATTGAAACACCGATCATTAAACCAAATGCCACAATTAATCTTATTAACTATACAAGTGTGTTCGGGAGAATGTCAATTGCTGGAAACCTTACTTTGATCGATCCGGAATTAAACAACCCAAGAATTATCATATGGAATTCAACGTATCTTCAACTCACTTTTAACTACTCTGACAAACCTGATTTTGATATTGTGAATCCAACGGGTGACACAAAGTGTTTTGATGTCATTTCACTGAATGAAAATTACAATTTAGATACATCAACCAATCAAGACCATATCACATCGGACATATTTGAATATTCATACAACTTTAAAACGGGTAAAGGGTACCTCATGTCAAACAAGAAGTTAATAAGATTTTGCCCAAACAATACACCTCTTGACAAAGAAGTTGTTTGTATTTTGAAACAAAATAATTATACTACATATACATCAACAATGGAAGGCGCGTTTGACTATCCACACTGTCCATGTAATGAAGATCTTAATGTGAATTGTAATCTTAAATTTGCAAGTGGATTAACTTGGGTTGACATGTCTGATTATTATTATTATTTCTATAACACTGAATTGTTGATTGAAAAAGATATATTTTTAAAAATACAAACTATGGATTATTTTAAACAATCACTGTTTATGATTATGTAAGATTCTTATTTTATGAATACAGTTCAATCAATATAATGTTGTTTTCATTCACTTTTGGAAATATGACATATACTTACTGGTCATACTTCAATTATGTGTTCACTTACAATTAACACGATATATTGCGAATATAGCTTATTTACAATTTAGATATAAATAAAAACATCGCACAATTTAAAATTGAATACATTGGGTATATCGCTCTTAATTTATTTGAAAACATAAATGTTGTCCTATTTAATAAAATAGTTTTAAATGAAATCAATCAAGTCACTATTAGTGAAAATGGGATAAGCTATGTATTTAAAGAAAAAGTTAACAGAAACAATGTTATTTAAATTGTTATTTAATTAAAGTGGCTCAAAATAATTTGAGTTGTGTTATATGTGATTTACAGCATCAACTTATAATTGGGAAATGTCTTCCTTTCGACAAAAATTGTGAAAATTACAACAAAACAACAAATGTGTATCATGTCAATGCAGGGTTTGTTTTGAATGAAAGTTACGAGTGCGTTTATTCCGAAAATTGTTTATATGGTACACAGACAACTTGTTACAAATGTAGTGATAGTTACATCAAAAATAAAAATGAATGTGTGTTGGATGACAAGTGTAAGTATAGTGATGAAAGTAGTTTGCATCAAATGCAACACGGGAAATGTATACAACAAGTGTGAGAACTGCGCAGCACATTGTTATTTATGTGAGAACAAAAAGTGTTTGATATGTAATGACAATTTTATTATTAAATAATGAAAATGTCTGTGTTGAAGTAGAAAATGGAATTTCAAATGGCATATCAATTGTTTGGTGTAATAACACTTTTTATATAACAAATGGCGTTTGTAACAACTGTACATCAAAATATGAACACTCTGTTTTGTGTAACAAAAACAATACAATTTTTTGTGAGGTAGATTATAACATTTAACGTGAGGGAATATGCATTTCATCAATTTGTCAAAATAAAACATTAATTGAAGAAAATGGGATGTGTAATTTACCAGAAGCTAATTGTGTATTTATTGTAAACAATAAATGTGTTGAATTTGAAAATGACTACATTCTTGATGATAAAAACATGTGTGAGTGTTACAAATGACACTTTGTCAATTGATTGTGTTTTATATAATAAATATGGATGCATATCATGTGACATTGGATATTATTTATCAAATACAAAATGTCGTCAATGTTCCGAGAATCGCGCAAATTGTATTTGCTTTGAAACAAAGTGTCTTTCATATAAGTATGGGTATTATCAAGGCGATAATTACACGTGTTTTTTAAGCACAGAATTGTTAAAAAAAAGTGCGACAAATAATCACAAATTACGGGTGGGTGTTATCAATGCAAAGACGGGTATTACAGAGTTGGAACGGAATTGCTATGATTGTCTTTTGAATTGTTCAACATGTAATACAAAAGACACGTGTTTGACTTGCAATTTAACAAATTACAAGACACAAAGTGGAAATTGTTTGCCACAGAACAGTGTCATTGGCTGTGCTGTCGAAGTCACACAAAATGGGTGTTCTAAATGTCAAGATGGGTATTACACAGTCAATTACAATGAATGTAAAAGGTGTCATGACAACTGCACAACATGCACACACCCGAAAAATGCACATCCTGTGTTAAAAACAAAGTATTATTTAAAAGTGGACTTTGCTATGATATTTCATATGTATTACAGTGTATTGAAATTTCAAACTCAAAATGCTCCAAATGCACATTTTGGAACTCTCCAAATGATAATGGGACTTTGTGTGACAAACATGTGGTTTGGTGGGTACTTCTCATTTTTATTTTGTTTGCCATTTTTGTGTTAATAATATTATATTGTCATTTGTATTAACAGTGAAATACATTGACAACAAAATGCATCAAAAAGAAATTGCGAAGACAACAACACTCTTTAAAATGAGTCGCTCAAACATCACATTTATTCAACTTGGTGATGACGTTGTTGTGAACAAAACAGAAATATAATTTGGTGAAGACGTCGATGTCAACACACAACAGCGAGAGCTTCTGTGTGTTGGGAACATATCAAAGGACAACATGAAAATTCAAATCACAACAAAAAGTGGGACAATTAAAAAATACTAATTTGACTCAAATCCAAAAATAATTGTTCTACCAAGTGGTGAAGTGTGTGAATTCGAGATACTACTGACTTTGAAATGCACAACTAAAATGGATGAGAGTGTTGTGTTAGTCGCAAACTCGTTCACAAAAAAAGATGATGTTATTTAGAAACTAACAATAACAACAACTTCAAAACTGATGACAGGACTTGATCCAGACGAGTTGGTAGAGGATAACATACTTGGTGAAGGATCTTTTGGAATTATTTAACAAGGGACTTTCAGATAAAATAGTGTTGCAATTAAAAAGATGAAATCATGTGGTAATGAAGACACAATTGACGAACTTGAAAAGGAAGTGAATATGTTGGACAAATTTCGGAGTGAATACATAGTCTACTTCTATGGTGCAGTGTTTATTACAAATAAAGTGTGTATGGTCACTGAATTAGCACAAAATTTGGATCTTTACAAGACTTGATAAAACACAAAATAAGTGGTGAAGTTGACATGAAAATGCGAGTGAAAATGATGTTGAACGCAGCAAATGTAATTTCATATTTGCACTCAAATGGGATATTACACAGAGATATCAAGCCAGACAATATCTTAGTGTTCCGACTTGTTTTAAACAACAAAGCAAATGCTAAGTTGACTGATTTTATAGCAAGTCGAAATGTCAACATGTTGATGACGAATATGACATTCACTAAGGGAGTTGGAACACCTAAATATATGGCACCTGAAATTATGAACAAAAAGCATTACAAAAAAATAGCAGATGTCTATTCTTTTGCTATTACAATGCTTGAATGCTTTTTGTGGAGTGAGGCGTTCCCAAAAAGTAGTTACATATTTCCATGGACTATTGCAGATTATGTATCTACTGGGAAAAGACCAGTGACCATTAAAACACTTAATAAAAAGTATAGAAATGTCATTGAAAGTGTTGGAAACAAAAGATTCAAGAGAGTGGTACTATCAATGAAATCATTGATGAGCTTAAAACAATAATTTAATATATTGTTTCAATACATTAATACATAGTTATTATTGATTAATTTCATAACATACAGTTTACTATGAAATATACAATTTGAATATCATTAAGACACACAATTTGAATCCAATTAATAAATGTGAGTAAATAATAACTATTCACTTAATATTGTATATTTATTTTAAACTTTTAATTAAGATTTTTATTTTAATAAACCTTGATATTTTTCATGACAATTTTTATCGTTTTCACAATTATATTATTGCAAAAATCAACATTTATCAACTTTTGTAAATTAAAAAAAAATAAATGTTTAATAATTCAAATGTTGTTTTGATGTTTATAAAAATATTGTCAACTTGTATGTACAAATTTTATTGTTTAAAATGTAATAATTAAAAATATGAACTAAATATAATATTTACATAATTTAAATTTTATATAAACAAATAACAACAGTTGTTAACTGTTAACATTATTTTAAATTAATGTATTTAATTTAGATATGTTTTGATTGAAATGTAATTTAACAAATTTTTTGTTTGTTAACACATAATATTAAGTGAAATTATTGAACACAGTAATTATTGGTAAATT